TAGTAAGAGAATGACATGTTAGAAAAAAAGATAGAGATCTAATAACTGATTGATAGAATGGATCTAGTGGAATTACTGGAGAGAACATACTACTTACTAGCTTGTGAGTTTAAGAAAAAGTTTTAAACACATTTGTAGACATAAAGCTCAGCGGACCAAAATGGTGCAAAGACTTCTTTTTCAAAAGGGCTGTTAGTCTGTAACACACTATACACCTGGAAAAATCTATCATTCCTACATGTGCAAAATACAGATCAAACTTTGGCAGTGTAATGCAAACAAGAATGTTTAATCCACAGAACATTTAAATACACATGATAACTAAATGGTAGAATATCTTAGAAAAATATTATCAGTTCCTTATGTACCTAAGAAAATGTGTGCTTACCAAGACCGAGATCCAAAACCATACCAAGCCAACTGAAGGATTTGAAAGCCAAGGCCAAGAAGAACTGTATTTTTGTTCCCTATAGACCTCATCAAGATACCGAGAAACACAGTCTGCAAGAGAAAGCGGTTCATCCAAAAGTTATTTTAAAAAAGCCAGATTGCTAAAATAATTTCTCCTTCTACACCAAGAAATTCAGAAGACCCTTCAACTGCTGAGGAAATCCACTATTTGTGCTCTTACTTCCCCTGTAATTACATCCAAAATGCAGACTAGTCACATCAACATTTGATGTGCAGACATTCTTAAAAGGTTTCTACTTCAAGCCATCAAGAAACATGAATTCTCCATGGACAGTACATGTCAGTGTCTGTTTCTACTGCAACAGGATTTCATTTTCACCTCTACAGTTCTGCTTCGTTACAGACTAGAGAGTTCCACAATAAATACTGGTACCAAGTTAAGATAGTACAGGCTGGATATGGGCTGAACTTACCAGTATCTACAAATACTAGAAAAAAAAGTACTGTTAGCTCAGAAAAGTCATCTCTTCAGGACAGGTACTATTCCAATCCCACATGCACTGAAATTTGGCCAAGGCCTATTCTTAGGCATCTTTAATTACATTTTCTGCTGACTCTACACCACTGATATAACCTCTTTATTTGCACACAGAAACTAAACCTAATGGAAGACCATTGTTTTTCATCTGTTAAAAGTGTTACTGCTGAGGGGGAATAAGATCCCAATTCATATACAACAGCAATACACTCAAGGCAACCAGGAGACTATTCCTAGTAAGGTTAAGTCCATATTGACAATTCACTTAGAGCAGGCATTTTTCTTTAACATGAAAAACTCAGCGATACATCAGTACCTGAAGAACTGCAGACCAGAGCACAATTCCTCTCTCATGTACATCTCATACTAGTCTTCTTGTTTCTCATTCTTAGACAAAGGTAGTTTGAAAACTAAATAGCAAAAATACCGTCATTCTATCTGCATGGGATCAGTTCTTTCTGGAGATATCTAGCATGCCAATGCAAATCGGTATTTATGAAACAAAGATTATTTCAATAAGCTGCACTCTTCAAAGTGTTCAAGTATCAATGCAGTTCCCTCATTTTAAGAATGAAAATTATGAACCAGGAGGGCAGGCATTTTAGAGATGTTTAACAAAAACACTGGTCTGAATAAAGTACGGTTGACAAACATGAGTGTACATAACACCATCAGAACAAACCTCAAAGATTAAAATAATTACTTAAATTAATAATGGACAGAACTGACACAAACAAAACTGGTAAACACTGAAGAATTCATTGTTTACATCAAAACAGCAAGACCTCCACTCTGTTAAGGATGGTAACAAGGTTACAGCACATTGTATGTGTCATTCCTCCTGTTGCAATAGGCAACAAGACAAACTGCACCATAGAGATACCGAAGATCACATCATAAAAACTGTTTGATTTCTAAAATGTATAAAGGGCCTGTCCAAAAACCAGCTCACTGTTGCCAATTAAGAGGTATGAAAGCAATATACCAGGGCCTCACAGCTGCTCAGCCTCCAGTGCTGTGCCTAAGTTACACTGGACAGACCATGTCACTATCTGCATCGTTTGTATGCAAGTTTTATAGCATGAGCCAACTGAAAAGATGCAAGCAGCATGACTTTTGCTTAAAGTAAGTAACACATTTCCCCTTCAGAAGGCTTTGTATTAAGTAACCAATCTCCTACATCATTTTAATAATTTAAAGCTAGAGTTCAGTAAATTTACTGAGTCAAGCTCAGCAAATTTCAGTCTCACTTCTTATGCCCAGGTCCAGTATTTCTAAGGAAAGCCAATTTAAAGCAAGACATTTATACAGACTATAGTTAATGCAAGATACACTGGCATTTAAGAGCATGTAAGAAATTTATAGATAAGCTTAAGTCAGAAGAGTGTGTCTTGGCATTCACTTCGTACTGTTTAATAAAACACTAAAAAGAATAAAGCTTACCTGAGCTATTATAGACAGAATGCCTACCACAGCTATAAATGCCGCAATGCTAGCAGATCCAAAACCTATAATCTGAAGAGAAACAGAAAATGCATAAACAACAAACAATTCAGGACAATCACTAGCAAAGAGGTATCTCCGTCAAAATCAGTGGGCCCTGCTTAATAATATAAATCCATACAGGAAGTGTCCACTTCCAATAATCCTTAACTCAACCTCCTGCCATAAAACTTACACATGAAAAAATAAGTGCCTTAAAAAAAGGAGATAAAGGAAATCATGTGTCTGGAAATCAAAGTTCTCTATCCCCCCTGTCCTGGGTTGCAGTGTATTCTCTTACCATCCTCATGAGCTGTTCAGATCAGGTGGGGCAGTGTTTCCTTGCCTCCCCCACCTCCAGACTAGCATTCTGTTAATGGCCCATCAGTGCCATGCAGCATGACTCATTATCCCATTGTGAGATGCTCCACCCAGAGGGAGAAAACCAGAATTCCATACTGGATATAATCTGAGATTCTGAATACCAGAGACACTCTCTTTTCCACTGGATTTCCAGAGGACAGGAGCTACTTAGCCACCACTGGACTTTTCTGAGGAAGAGCACACCTTCTTTCTACAGGATCACTGCTTCAGGGGGATTGCAGCCACCATTCTACTAGACTGCTACCACCACCCTGATTAACAGGGTGTCAGGTTGTATCCTGACTCTGTTAGTTTAACCCAGCGTTATCTGCCTTTATATTTTTTTTACATTTTTTCCCTTTTTTTAAAATTTCCCTATTAAATTGTTATTCTGACTTGGTGTCTCCCACTAGTTTGTTTTCTAAGTAACACACCCTCCCACAGACACAACAGCTCTTCAACCAGCAAGATCCCACCTCAAGACAAACAAGCTGCTGCACTGAATGGGAACAAAGGTGTGATTAACTTTATGAACACGTGCTTAAACTGTGGCAGGGTTTATGCATCAGAAGTCAAGTGTTATTGAGTTCTAGGCTTAGCAAAGTACCCTGCCTTCATTTTTTAAAGTTGTATTTTGCCAGAAAGTAGTCTTCTGAGCAAAGTCTTCAACAAGAAATAGGTCTTACAGAATGCTCGTTTAAACACCTTTAGTAAGATGCGAAGACACCAATATTTTACCTGTCGCAAGTATAGAAAAAAGCTAGAATACTGGCCAGCCTCAGGCAGATAGGAGAGAAATACTGTTATGCAGATCGGGAGAACCGCAGAATCTTTTCTAACCTTCTTCAGAGACTGTAAAACGAAACAAAACAAGTATTGGAACATTTATACAAAGTCTAACAAAAGCATAAAGCGAACAGAAGGTGGATTGACTTTTTTAAAATCCATTTTTACTCATGCATACGAGTCGAAAAAATCACCCATGGAAACAGTTAAACTGAAAATTAAGTAAGGAACAACTTCCTGTTATATAAGGTTTGTGGTATCTGATTCTTCTGCAGTTTCCATTTGACTTTTTGAAGCTACTTTTCAGTGCTAAATAACAAGTATTCACTGAAAATAGCATTATATAATATTTAGGGCAACACATAGTATCTTCTTCATAGTATCTTCATATTATCTCCATAATAATCTGATCTGAAATATGGTAGCAAAGAATACTACCTCATTACAACTGTTTCTCTTCTCAAATGATGTATTTTTCCTTGTACATTTAAGGTTTTTCACCCATAATATGAAACACTTTAAGCAACAAATAAATTGCAGAAAACAAATTCTTTAATTGCAGTGTTTCAACCATGTCATTCCTCCCTCAACATGCACAACCAGTTTCCAGCAGGATGGATCTCATGAAGAACAATCACTCTTTCCTGTCCTAAGATATCAAGGTGTAACACAGATTAGCTGACTAAGTGTGAGTAAGTGAAAAAGTTACTCGAAAGTCTGCATGATGTTTTAACTCTTCCTATATAGACCTGTAGAAAAATCAGGCTTTACACATCCATTCTAATCATATACAACCAAAAGTGGAATTCAAGAATGGGGGGAGATACTGTCAACCAAAGGTACAAAAAGTAAAATGAATATGGGAAAGTCTTACAATATCAGGTTTTGGGGTGTGTAGCAGTGTAAGAATTCAGCATTTCTCTTACAATAAAAGAAGTTAGAAAAGTAAAGCATTTTCCCTTTGGATTGCACACTGAACATTTTTTCCAATTCAAGAATCATTTAATCCACAAAGGTTGGTTTAGTTTTGGTTTTTAAGTGTAGCTAGATCTTCTTGTGCAAGTGCAGAGAAAAGAGATTATGGTATACTGAATAGTCAAGCTACCAATAAGATTAAAGATTTTTCAAGTTTACAAAGTGCAATTACTTAATAATTAATCATCCATTATTTATTACTTATTGAAGTACATCTTACTGCAAAAGGGTCTGCTTGCTCCCATGATATTGAAGTTCCCCATGAAGCAGGTCTCATTTTTTCTGGCAGAGATTCTGGTACAGCTAGCAGGATGAAGCAGATGTCCACCACAGCCACCAATGTGGCCACTAGTATGACAAGGTTGTCTCCGTAGCTGGCAGATAGGTATGCTCCAATGGCAGGACTAGTTACCAAACTTGCTGCAAAGGTGGCAGACACCTATGCACAAGAACAGTTTACAAACTTGTCAAAGTGGTTATTTTGCCACTGCAGAAAAATGAAGTAACTTGCTCAACACCACCACCCCTCCACAGAAGTATGGTTTTTAAAAAACACCAGTCAATACTTAAGTAAAATTAATTTTCTTTTAAAAAAAAAAAAAAAATCACTTATGATAGTAAATACAGGTCCAACTAAAGTTTTTCCAACCTCCTCCACAGCCCACCATAAAAGACAGGATTTGCAGGGAAAGAGCAAGTTTGGCTCAAAGGAAACCATTTTTTGTTTTCTAATTTGATTAGATTGCACTGAAAAAGTTGTCAGCATATTTAAATGCCTGCCTCAGTGAACCTGAGCCTCAGCACCGGGTAATATATAGAGTAATACATAATGCCTTTGTAACAGTTTGCATTTTAAACACACAGCTACCACTGGATAGCACAGCAAACTAGAAAATCATTAGCTATGACAAAAACTTCAACAATAACTGTATTGCTTAATACTACATTGTCATAACATGCAGCTACTAACAGATCACTTACTGTATTCATGTACAGCAGAACATGTTGAAAAATCAAGTACTGTAGTTAAATTTCACTACAAAAATCATCAGAAAAAGTTAGAATAAAGCCAGTTTGTTTGGATCTTTTAATTACTACTCTTTTTCCAGTCCCCAAAGCAAAAACGCTCTGCATAACTATTTTAAAGAATAAGAACATGAGCTAGAAATGTAGCTTTATACCAAGCTAGGAAAAAAAAAAAATCCTAAGGAAAAGGTGTAACAAACTGACTAGAAAGAGATACAGACCTTAACAAAATAACTGCAGTTTTGTCTACCGCTTTACAGAATTTTAGATCAAGATGTTTAACAAAAAAATGAAGGCAGGCAAATACATGTTCCAAACATACTTATGGTCCTCTTTACAGGCAGAAGAAATAAAATGGGAAATCCAGAACTTCTAAACCCGTTCTGTGCTCTGCTACAATACACACAAGTTTGGTTCAAAAGAACCAAGTCCTTTGTTTTCTTAACTGTTAAATCAACATCTGAGGAAACTTTAAGAGCTCGAAGTACAGTACAGGCAGCCAAAAATCAAGTCCATGAATATCTGTATAGTGAAAACAGATGCACAAAGAATGAAAGGATAAATGATGTTCAAAGTCTAACAGAATATACCAGTGGGCCTCCAAAACCTAAACCAATACAGATATCCAGGAAATCAAAACTAAGCAGGAATTATATTACAGGAAAGGTTAGTTTGTACTGTTTCCCTCTTGCTAATTCAGAAAGGTCATGACCAAATTACTAAAAATACTGCATTATGCATTTTTGCCCTTCCTGACTGTTTTGACTATAGCAAAAGCCACTCTGTATTAAAAAGAAATCACATAAACATCACAAAGTACAATTTACAGGTCATGGGAAGATATTGCCAGATCAATTTTTAAATAACTTGCATTACTTTTAACATGTTTAAACTTAAAACATGTTTTGTTACACATGTTTTTTAACATGTTTAAACTTAAAACATGTTTTGTTACACATGTCCTCTGTACAAGTAAAGTCAAAATTCTTACTCTATTCCAATGAGCACTGAGCAGTCTGTGCATCAGTAAAAAGTCTAGATTTCCCAAACTCTTAACACAGTGCCTTGATGCACAGTTCATTCCTTTCTCTATCATCATCATTAATCAGGAAACAATCTCTGCATCAAAACACAAATTCAATACAAAGGTCATACTCTGACCTTTTCTTCAAGTTTAGTGTATCTTACCAGTCCATAGGCTGTAATTCTTTCATGTTCTTGTGTTACATCAGCTACATAGGCAAATATTACAGAAAAGGTAACAGAAAATATTCCAGATACCGAAATCATAGCGAAGTACCACCTAATGATTTAAAAGCAACAATTAGAAAGTTTAAGCTAAGACCTCTTGCTTTTCTCTTACTAATCAAGCAAGTTTGTGTTTAAGCTATGACAAGTGTTCCTCAAGAACTAACATAGAGCTTTAATGGAAATGACTATGCAGTCTCACTTCAACACTGGACAACAGCACTTTCATTATTTACGTTCTACTGTTTATTCTACATCAGCCTAAAAGAAGCTTCAGCACCTTCAGGACATGATACCTACACATTTTCACACTCTCAAAGCCGAAACAAGTTTAAGTTATGAAAAAGGAACTATCTTAGTAATCAGTTTCTCAAACCAGTTAAGGAATAAACTATCATATATAATGCTTCAGATGGTGAACTCTGAATGCACTGAGTGTACACAAAGGTCTTCTGTAATCCTAAATTTCATAACAAACATAAAAGAAACTGAAACCAAGTCAATTCCACTCAGTTAAGATGTCAGTTGCCTAATCAAACAGCTAAAGATCTCATTTGCAGCAATTACACTTTTCAGTAGTCAATAAATTCTAAAGTTCATTTAGCTTTAAAAATGTTTTATTAAAGCACTACCAGTCCTCAGGGGAAAAGAAAAATTAACAGCTGAGCTTAAAACGATGTCAAACCATTTCAATTATTGTTATACTTGCGTGAATACATCAACTAAATCATATTCCATAATTTCTACTTTTAAGATACACAGTTTTAACCCATTTTAAACACAAAAGCTCCAAATAATTCAATGACATCTTGAAAGGAAAGTCCCTCTCCCCACTTCCCTGGACTACTGTGATTCAGTTTCTGCTGTACTGACAAACTTGTTACTACAGTTGGTACCACTTACCATGGACTTATTCTCATTAAGGGAATTGGGGCACAGGTGAAGAAAACTGTAAGAAGAAGAAAAGATTTTCTTCCCCATGCATCTGACAGAGCACCTATCAGTGGAGCACTGAGAAAGGACAAAAAACCCTGTGACAGAATAAAAACAATATGTCTAAATTTTTATTTCCAAGTTTTACTTTTACCACAATATAAAAAGGGGCTAAAGTTCTAATTTGATTTGAAATTAAACACAAAATCATAGATAAGTGAAATTGTACACAATTTCTTCTAGTCTAGTTTTTCTGTGATTCTGATACTTTGTTTCAAATCTATTAAACCTAAAAAAAAAAAAAAAAAAAAAAAAAAGAATTAAAATAAGCAAAGCCTTTCACAGGTTTGTTAACTGCAAAACCTCCAGACAGACACATCCTCCTCCTAATTAGTATATCATTCTCTCATCAATTCAACTCTGCCATAAATCCAATCATTAGTAAATACATGGTTCTGTAAGGACCTCAATACACTGGAAGTCTACTTCAGCTGACCTTAGCTAACCTCTGATATTCAAATATAGTCACCTTCAAGTTTAACATATGTGTAGACTACTGTATTAAATCACTATTCTGTCAAATCATAACAACTCTGACTCCAATGATTTCAGTGAGTAAACTGAGAGCAAAAGCTATGAAGCCACATAAAGCCACACCACCGGATCCTAGGAAAGCTAGATGCCTTCCTTACTCAGTTGAAATTAATGTTTTTGCTCGTTCGAGTCAGATTTCAGTAGAATATGAACTAACGTGTTTTGCTGTCACCCCAAACACTTCTGATGTCTCATAAACAGCACTTAAAATAAAATAATGCACAATGAAGTCCAGTCTTGCTCTGGTCTATGCTCCCCTGTTTATTACACCTGTTAGAGCAATACATGCATTTAGACCATGATATTAATGTGCTTTTCTATAGATATGGTCTGGAGAAAATACATAGGGAACCCTTCATTCACTACTTTTAAGTGATATCCATAGTTATACCGCACTATGAAAGAACAGAGTTGAAAGAAAACACCAAAAGGAACATGAAAGCTGTTTTTCTAAAAGAACAATTCAAAGTTAACTTCCTTTTTCAGTTTGAGACACCAGAGCTTCCACAGTGCATGGGTGTTTTGCAAATGAAAGATACCAAGACAGCAAGTCCATCCCAAATCACATTCTTAGAGCTAAAAGCAACTTTTTAGATTTGTTACAGAACACAAAGCTAAATAATTTCTGAGTTAGACAGAAATTACACTAAGTGCTTTGAAACCTCTCAGTATGACAGTTGGCAGAGAAATTTTCAAGTTTTAGTTATCCTAGAGAAATTCTGGAAGCTTTTTTTGTGGCAACAATCCAGCACGACCAGTGTATGAATGCAGTGGTATGAGCAAGCTACAAATTGCCCTGAATATCTTAACCACCACAGAATACTCAAAAACTGATTAAAAAAAGAGTGGGGCAGAGGGGAATAAACAACCCTGCTGAAAATTAGCTTTTATATCACATTTTGGACAAAATCACGGTGTTTATGTGCTTCGTTTTTTATCTCAGTGTTATCATCATGGCTGCATCAATTTGCTTTTGATATAAATCATCTAACATTTGGAAGCAGACATTAAAAAGCTAGCTTCATTCTCAGAAGGATCCTTATTAAGATTACAATAGATACAAGTGGCACCTATTCAAATGACAGGAATTTAAACTTCTGGGAAATATTCCACTTGTTTCAAGATGCTGCCATTTAGCAGTAAAATTTGAACTGAGCCCAAAACCACAACCATTAAAATAAAAAAAAAAATGGTTTAAGAATTAATTACATTCTCATTGTTTTCTATGTTCTTATGTAAAATGCAGGAGATATAAATTAATGTACAGGAACACAGAGAATATTTAGGTCAGAAGGTTTTTTTTTTTAAAAAAAATATCTTACCTTAACACCTTGAATAAGACCATTCATTAAAAATGTATGATGAGAAAATGTTTCATGTAAGACCTGATGGGGAAAAAAAGCATTATTCGAATCAGGAGAGACAGGAGAATGTTGACTCAGAGACTAAATCTGATTTGTAAAACAGGATAGCTCTACTGAGTCTTGTAAAAAAGTATCTTATCCTAGAATTACACTCTTATTTGTCTTCACAAGACAATATCACAAGGTTTAATATCAATTTATTGGCATAAATTCCTTTGCTGGCACAGACAACACTGTACTGCTGAGAGTTTGGTTTAGAGTACTTTGCTCAGAAAGGTGATCAATGTAAGCAGAAAGCATCTCCAGGTGGTACAAATCACAGAATTTGAGGTAGATAATTTCTTCAAAAGGTTGACTCAATCATTGTACTGATTAGAAGTGAAAATGATATTCAGCTAACTTACTCTATCAAGAAAAAAAAAACAGCATTATATTCACAACTGCCCCAAAAGACACTATGCAAACTGTTTCTGAACAAATTGGACATATTCAGTAGTCAGTTAAAACACTTCCAATGAAAAGTAGATGTTTATAAATACTAGCAACAGTTCTGAGTGTTTAATGTATCCTTTAAGTACAGCTATGAATTCATTTAAGGTGCTTTACCAGCAACCCTAATTCAAGGGCAAGCATGTTAATCTACACTAAACAGATTTACCATAAATATGCAAGAGAGTTAAAGGGCCCCACAGGTGCTACTGTGTTGATTTTAAAAGTTATTGCAATGGTCAAAGCATGTATGCACACACTTCAAATTAATTTACTGTTTTCATGTATAGATAAGTGCCAATAACTAGAAAAATTATTTTTGTGCATGTGAGAAAGCCACTAGCCTGAAGAAAAACAATACTTTAGGGTCACTGAAAAGTATCAACATAATTTTTCAAGAATGACCGAGTTTCTCAAATTATGGGTTTAATAAAGGTAGCTGTTCCCATGTTAACTACTGGTCAGATAATTCTGCTTATTTACAACCCTTTTTCCTTCAGGTGTTATCTTCTGTTTAGGTATTTAAAACAATTTTGCAATTTGACCACTGACTTTATGATATGAATGGAAAAAGAAAGTCAGCACTCAAATTAGAGATCTAAAAGCAGATGTCTTTCAAGTCCAAAAAAAGGCCAAACAAGCAGGAAGCTCAGAGTCAAATCTAATTAATCTCTCTGTAAAGTGTTTTCCAATACTTTTCCTGGTAGGCAACCACACCTGACATTGTTTGAAGCTTTCAAGATTAATTTCTGTTACTTTCTAGACAAGAGAAATGCAAGTTGACAAGCTGGAAGAGGCAGATGTCTTACTCAAGTTCTACTGACAGAAATATTTCCATCTTCAAAGAAGATTATACTGAAGACAGAATATGCCATTAAGGGATTAATATTTTTATTATGATTTGCTAATATTGGCTTACAAGTCCATTGTAAGAGTAATGAGCATAAACTTTGGGCAGTCTGAACAAAATGGCCTTTGTGTGCCATATAAAAAGTTTTAAATCTTTTTTTCCTCTAAGTGTAGTGTCTTGTAACAAACACTACAGCTTTGCTGGCAGATGCCAAAAGTAGTGAAAAGGTAATCTAAAAAATGAATTTTAAATAATCTCAGCTAACACAAAATACATACAATTCCTTTTGATAATAAACAACACATTTTTATCTGATTGAATGTTGACAATGACCTGGAGAAACAGAGCACAACCACAAAAAAAAAACAGAGTGATCATGAGCTTTGATCACATTTCAACTTCCATCCTTTCTACCAGACAAACCTGCTTGAGCAAGAGGGGCAGTTGGCAATTCAGAGGTTTGAACCTAGCTCATAAGAAAGCTCAACATGACTTCTAGTACTGCTGGCTGATCAACAGGCCAAAGTAAATTACCACAAGTGCATTACAAGACAGAATAATACAAAGTATCAAACTAGATTTGAAATTATTAAAAAAAACCAGCATCCTTCCAGTGTGTGCAGAGCTGATTAGAAATAAAGATGAACATGCCCAAGAAGACAGTAGTCATTTACACCTGTATAAAGTTGATATACGTAACTCAGTGCTTTAATTTTTCAGTCCAATGCATCAGAGCCCAAGTATTCAAGACCAAGGAACACAACATTCAAAATACAAGACATTGAAGACCACTTGTACTGAATCCACATACTTCAGTTAAAGAATTTAGCTTTACCTAAGAAGCATTTCATAACACTCTCATCAGACACAATACAACATAAATACTAATTACAAGAGAATTAACATTCCAGCTGCATGTGACTAACAGTAAAAAATCTTACAGAACTATTTCAATTGGAATACTCTTTTGACGAACTGTTTAAGAACCCACCTAATGTATAGTTTTATTTAAGTGGGTTTTTTTTCAAGACTGTAAGAATTACACATTACCCCTTTAAGCAAGAAGTGTCAAGCTTGGGCAACCAGAGTTGAGCATTTTGGTTAAAAAAAAAAAAAGAAAAAAAACAAAACGAACAAAGACCACCCAGCAAGCTTCTCCATATTTCCATATTTTGACACTGGCAAGACATCAGGACAGGATGGTCATTTAGTGAGACATCTACTTTATGGAAATCTGTTAACTGTTTGTACTGACTTCTTTATTATGAAGCTACGTTAGAAGGATCGGTGATTGTCTTTGGGAACACTGTTCAAGAGTTATGTAGATCATTTTATATGGAGCTTGAGGAAGGGAAATAATTAACTCCAAGGTCTTTCAATCCCACAAAAGCCTTGCTCATCATGCATTCAGAGAGCTCACCGGTATTATTTGATGAAAAACTGGACTATTAGATCTTTGATGACTTCTCTCAGGCAGGCCTGATTTCAATGAATAAGATACATATCTTCAGATGAAAGACTTCCTATTTTACTACCAAACACTCAAATTATCTATTAATCTGGAAAATAAGTGTATTCCAGAACAGATTAAATACTTATAAACCCAATTTTTTACATGAAAGCCTTTATATTTTAATTCTTTACCTCTTACTATTTTACTTTGCTTTACTTAGCAAAACAGCCAGCTCAGTCATGTACAAAGTTTACTATGGTATGCATAGTTTATTCAATTATTATGACTGGGAGATGAATTGAACTATTAAGTCCTAAAAAAAGACAGAATTTTCAGAGAGACTTTCATCAATACTCTAAACTGATGTTACTCTAAAAGGTAAATAAAAGTTAAAATATTAGTACAGCACTTTGATAATTTATTTTTCACTGTCTTTTGGTCTTTCTGCGGTCCAGATCTCAGCTGGAGTACACTACCATTGTGCAGTGCTGAATGTTAAGACTCCTGGAATTCAGTTAATGAGGTAAGCAGACAGTGTAAAACAAAATAAAACCCCAATCCCTAGAATTAGCAAATTAACTTTTGTCATTACTGCCAAGATGACAGCAGACAGTGATACTTACCGTTAGCATCGGAGTTGTCAAGAGCCCCCAGGCAAAGAATTCTAGAAATATGACCACCACTACATGGTAAACGCTTGGCCGACCAATACCTTGTTGCTAAGAAAGAAAAACACATGCAGTGGTTGTACACATCCAATTCATTACATGTGCAAAGATCTCTTACAAACGTGTTTTGAGCATAACCAGCTTCCAGGATGACCTACTACCAATCCCCTGGGAATAAGCAGCCAAACAAGGGTGGAGAATAATTATTACAAAATGACTAAAGAACTCCAGGGAACTTTCTGAAATTTGTTCCCTCAAACTCTTGCTGAATGAAGAGAGATATTTTTGCACATTCCTCACAGTGGCCTACACTGCTCTCACCTCCAACATGCCTTCAGGTTTCCCCCCCTTGAGCACTATTCACAACCCTTCCACAGCAGTGTGACAGTGTAGCTCTCCCCACTACATCCACAAGTGACAA